TGCTTGCTACTCTTGCAGAGGACCTGAAACACCCATATCAGGCAGCCCACAGCCACCTTAATTCCAACTCCACGGGACTCAACCCCCTCTTCTGACTTCCTCAGATACATAAAATTAAAAAATAATAAAAATAAACCTTTAGGGGCTGGAAAGCTGGTTCAGCGGTTAAAAACATTGGTTGTTCTTGCAGAAGACCCGGATTTGAATCCCAGCACCCACATGGCAGCTAACAACTGCCCATAACTCCAGTCCCAGGGGATCTGACAGCCCCATGCACGACATGGGTGCACTTACCTACATGCAGGCAATAGATGCATACACATAAAATTAAAATAATAAATAAAATTTTTAAAAAATAAACCTTTAAAAGTTTTTATAGAACTTTAGGAAGAGAATTGAGACAAATACGTCCTTCTAAAGGATGTTTTAAGTGAAGAAGAAAGATGAAATAATAACTCCAGCTATATATGAGAAATAAAAATGAGAAATTTCCAAGTGAGAGAGTTCAAAAATGACAGGAATATAGAAATCAAAGAAACTAACATCAGCAGAAACATTAACGAATGATTTGTTCAAAAGCAAAACAACCTTAAAATAGATGAAATGCTGTTAAGTCTAAGACAGAAAAGAATAGAAATGAAGCAAAAATACAAAGTCATTGACGAGGACGGGAACAAAGCAATGTGGTATGGCGTCTTTCACGCATGCACACATCCATCCCTCCCATGTGAAGAGGCATCAAAGCTACCAAACTGAAGAACTAGAAATTGATCAAAGCATCCCCTCAGAAACAGGGCCTGGGAACAACTTTACAAATTCATTCAGACCAGTTGCCTCTTACACAATCACATAAGACATGGAGTATTGAAAATCTCTCATTCAAAGGTCACATCACACAGCAGCATATTCAAGAAAGGATAGCAGGTATTCATCTTTTACGTCACATGGTTGTCAATCTTTTTAACATATAGGTAAATTCATATTACTATACATTTTATGCAAGACTTTTTAAATCTTATCATTTTCAACCTGTATAAATCAAATTCATAGAATGACTCCAGTTTATTGCTGAGCCTTTAAGAAACAAGAATTGGGCCAGCAAGACAGCTCAGCAGGTAAAGGCACTTGCCACCAAGCCTGAAATGCTGAGTTCAGTCCCCAAGACCTACTTGGAGGAAGGCTAGACCCAGTTCTCACTAGTTGTCCTCTTGCCTCCACATACGTAATATGGCATGTGCACACCCAGACATAAAAATAAATATACAATTTTTTAAAGTTTTTTTTAATGAACTGATGAAAAAAAGAAAGAAAGAATTCTCATTCCAGGGTTTGGGAGATGGCTCAGTGGGTGAAGCACTTGCTGTGCAAGCATGAGGATCTGAGTTCTAATCTCTAGAACTCGCATGAAGCTGAGCATGGCAGGGCACGTCTATAATTCCAGTATTCCTACAGTGAGGTGGGAGACAGAGACAGGAGCCTTCCCAGAAGGGCCAGTTAGCCTGGAGTACACAGTAGCAAACAATAAGGAGACCTTGTTTTAAACAAGGGGGAGTCAAGGACTGACTCTGAGGTCTTTGGACCTCCACACACATGCACCCACCCCCCCTACACACACACACACACACACACACACACACACACACACACACACACACACACACAAAGTTTTTTTTAGAAAGAAAATTCTCATGCCATAGCAAAGAAAGTAGAGCATGTGGAAGGCACTACATGAGTGAGAGTAATTCTAACAGTAAATCCTCATCAAGACAGCCCCAAAGAAACAGAGATGAGAAATGCTAAATAAGTAACAGCACACCTAACTCTGTAATGCTCCTTTCAAACATCCTCTGGACCAGAAGGGACAAACTCTCTACTCTCTGCCAGCCACACTAGGGCCAGACAGTGTCTGAGGAAGGCCTGCATGTAGCAGCTCCTGGCAAGCAAGCTGTGTGTGTGACCACAGCTGACTCTTCATACCCACTGCACTAATGAATAATGACATAAATTTGACAAAAACTATAAAATATCAATTTAATGCTCTCAGTTTTTTAAAAAATAAAAAAGTACAAGTAAAATAGCATAAATAAGGGAGAAGGATCTCAACTCTTAAAAGGACTACCACAGGTATTTCTGGAAGTATCACTAAATTGTTTTCAAACATTAATACAATTAAGACTAAAAATAATAGGTAATTTATGTTGGCTGTGGTCTAAAAGGAAAAATAGGAACCTCAATTCAGTGCATCGGCATCCAAAGAGGGCTCCGAACAGGTCCGCTGGAAGATGAGCATGCGCAGAGGTAGGAACCCTGAATGTGAGTACTCTGCCGCAGCTCTAGTGATCCCATCTAGCCAACTTTTCTAGTTAGCCAGCCACCTGTGTGATTATGTTGGAGACAGAGCTCCAGTCTTAGCAAGCTATAATCCTTGACTCGCTCTCCTCTCCTCTCTTCTCTTTTTCCTTTCCCTCCCCTCTCTCTTCTGCATTCTCCCCCCTCCCCTCCCCTCCCTTTGACAGACTGACTGACTGATGGGGGTGTACCCCAGGGACACAGGCTCATTACACATTTTTTAAAATATTTTATTTATTATTTTATGTGTATGACTGTATTGCCTGCATGTATGTGAGTGCACCCATGTTGTACAATGCTGCGGAGGTCAGAAGAGGGCTTCAGATTCCCCTGGAACTGGAATTAAGGACGGTGCATAGCCACCTCTGCAAGAGCAGTCGGTGCTCTTAACCACTGAGCCATCTCTCCAGCCCCTCATTATACATTTTATTATTAGAACAGTGCAAAGAAAATGATTTTGATAGCCACCAAATGACATTGATAAAATTAAACTCTCATGCCTATTTTTTTCCTTTGTGTTTATGTGTGTGTATGTGTGTGAGAGAGAAAGAAAGAGAGAGAGAAAGTGTAGTGTATGCATACATGCACAAAGCCCATGTGTTCACACAGAGACCAAAGGGGGACATTAGGTATCTTACTCTGTCACTTTCCACCTTAGTCCCTTGAGACAAAGTCTTTCTCTGGACCTGGAACTAAAATGGCTGACAGCAAGCCCTAGGTATCCTCCTGTCTCTGGTCCCTACAGATTATAGGCATGCATGGCCATATCTGGCTTTTTATAGGGGCACTGAAGATTTGAACTCAGGTTCTCATGCTTGCACAGCAAGCACTAGCCATCTCCCCAGCCCTCATCCCTATTTTTAAAGCTACTAAAAAATACTAACAACAAAATACACAATCTTGGCAAAACTAAGACAACTTGAAACAGCCAGTTGTCATCACAATTAATGAAAATGATAGAAATATTCTCATTAATTGGTGGCCTAATAATTTTCCTCACAAGCCTCTCCATTATCAAATATCATCTTGAAAAGGTGACTAAATAAGATGTAGCTATGAAGAAGAAAGTCATACTTATTTGAAGAAAACAATTTTATTCACCTAAAAGCCCAAAAGATCAACTAAGGGTCAGAACTAATGAAGGGGTTAATAAAAATAAAGTTTCAATTTAAGTAAACAAAAGTGCTGTTTCCTGGGCCGGGGAAGTAGCTCAGTGTTAATGCCTCACATGCACAAAGCCCTGGGTTCAATTCCCAGCCTGTGTAGAGGAGAGGACAAGAGAGATGGAAAGAGGGAGAGGGGAAGGGAGGGAGGGGAGAGGACAAGAGAGGAGCTGCCTTCTATTCTATTCTAGCAATACTTACAGCTATGACAGAAAGATAGAGAGAGGGGGAGAGTGAGGGAGGGAGGAAGGGGGGGAGGTGGGAAGGAAGACATTCCATTGAGACTAGTAAGAAAGGTTATAAAATAAATGCCCAGGAACAAATTAAATGGCTGGACCCATAGAAAGCAAACTGAAATAACTCTTCTAGGGACATAAAGGAGGACAGTGATGCAAGCTAACAAATTAAGAGCTTTTGAGACAGAATATCCTTATAGTTACAGTTAGCCTAGAACTCACTATGTAAACCAGGCTGGTCTCCATCTCCCAAAGTCCTGAGATTAAAGGTATACACCGCCACGCCTGACTCCCTATTTTTATAGAATATAAAAATAGTGAGAAAGCATTCACAAGCTTTAAAATGCATATTATAAAAAAGTACAGTATGATTTCAATTGTTTAAAGCTCAAAGTATAAACAAATACATAAACAATACCTAAAAACATAGGTACATCTTCACAGCCTTAACTGCGCTTGCCTTTCACTGATAGAAATGCAGATGACTTTAACTCTGCCCTACACTTTCCACATCGTCCACAAAAACTAATTCAGAAAGAATGAAAATAGGCATTGCCTCCTTCAGGAAGCCCACAAGACACCTACTACAGCCACGCCTCCCTCTGGCACTATGAATGGAATTCACCTCTGCGGCCTTCCCTCAGATCTTCTTGCTCCTTCCTCCTCCCCCAGCAGGCCACCATGGGACTTCATGCCTGCATGCTGATGGTCTTCTGCCAAAGCCCTCATCCTTAAAGAACCCACATCTTGAAGATGTTACCTGATAGATTATCCAGGCAGAAAGAAAGGAGCCCTGCTGGGAACCGAGTGCTGACACTGGCCCCCACTTGCACATCTGAAGCTGTCAGGACCCACCAAGAGTCCTCAGTCACATACACACCATTACTTGTCTGGGAGGAACCAGGGACACCAGCCTGCTGTCACCTGAAGTGGCTTTTCAGGCTCAGGTCCCAGAGTACAGAGTCAAAGCTGGAGACATCTCTTCTTCCATGGCCCTGGCAGGGCTACCAGGGACCCCAGCCCTAACACAGGTAACCAGGACTGAACCAAGCCTTAGTAGCACAGTTTAGTGATGGTGGTTCCTAAGACTCACTGCATAGGCTGCTCCACACCCCTCCATGACTGCACAGGGCAGAGACAGGAATGTTTTCCACTGAAGATCAAGAACCCCTCCTCTCCTCCCTGTCTTTTATTCTCATCCCCAGATCCCCTAGAGAAATCAAGGACCCCACAAATAGTAAGCAATACATACATGAGGACTGGATGGAGAAGATGCCAGATTAGTGGGGGTCAAACTCGACAGCCCATCTGCAAGCTACAAATTAAACATGCCGGTTAGCAACAAGGTTCTAGGACCCGATACAGGAAAGGCTGGTCAGTCCTGAGGGAGTAGGGCCCTTCATACACCTGTAGAAAGAGTGTGCACTCTCCAGTTAGTCAAGTTTGGCTCCATGGCCCTCCCAACTGTGTGACCTTGGGCAGTAGTCAGAGGAACCAACATTTCCCAGAACAACAGTGAGTCTGAATGAGATAAGTCCACACCAACCCAGTGCTGGTCTCCTATTCTGTCTCCTATTCTGACAGGAGTGTTTGTCACCACCCACTGAGCCACTCTCCCTGCCTTCCCCAATCTGGCAGCTCCAGGGACAGGCCCAATCCCACCATCCCTTCACCGGCTCCTTCAGTGGCTAATGCTACAGGATAACCAAGCAAGGGCAAAGTCCTTGTATTCTGTCCCCCAGAAGCAGGGCACCACACACTACAGGGCTCCCCAGACCTACAGGAGGGAGCCTGGAGGATCTTACAGTCCAGTCCTGCTTCCCCATCCTAGAAAAAACTTCCCATCCTGCATCCTTGCTTGCTGCCTTCAGGACTGTAAATTGAGGTCTTATGGGAGGATCTCAGATCTGCTCAGAGGCCACAGCAATGAACCAGGATGAGGGGATGAGGCTGAGGTAGGCAAGCAGCAGAATAGCAGATGAACCAGGCAGGGAGATGCCTCCTAGGCAGAGGAGCAGAGGAAGAAGAGAGAGAATGGCCAGGGAGGCAGACTCTACAGCAGCAGCAAGAGGAGGCAAGGCTGAAGAGGCCAAGGGCCAGTGGGAAGTCATCAGCTCTAGCCTCCCTCTTCAGTAATCCTGGAGCATTGGCTCTGGTAGGACTCAGAAAGAGGCAAAGGCCAGCCTCCCTTCCTGTGTGGTAGGAGCCCAGAAATACTCTCCAGAGGTCAGTAGTGGGGGCAGAGAGGCAGTAGTAGGAGCTGGGACCTGGAGTGGGGTTCGGACTCCCAGTACCCTTCCTGCTTTATGTGGAAAGTGTCACTAAGGAACCCAGAACCTTAGCCTGGCCAGGCAGGCAGAATGGAAAGTGGCAGCCAGCCAGGCCTGCTGGCCAATGTTGGGTACGGTGTGACCCCCAAAATAAACTAGTGATGCCACCTGCAGCCCCCGGCTGGCCAGAGGTGGCCCTGTACCTCCCTTTCTCAGGCCTAACCCCTTAGAGGCCTCATTGTTGTTTTGAATGCCTATCCTTTTTAGAAAGGGGAGAGGGGATCGGGCAGGTCACCAGAGCAAAAGGAACATGCAGCTAAACATAGCGCAAAAGGCCTATGCAGCTGCAGAAATTACACGTTCCCCTTCAGGCTACAGCCATAATTTGCTGCTTTGATTCTGGGAGTTTGTTTCCACCTTCATGGCGGCCCAGAGACTATAACTGGAACAGTGAACTCCAAATTAGCCTGAGCCTGAGAGCCTGGGAGCCAGCCAGCCACAGCACCTCAGCCCATGGTAAGGGGAAGAGGCCTCACCACCTTCCAAGGGTTTCTCCATGCCACCTGCCAACCATGTCCTCAGTAACATCATTCTGCCCACCTACCACACACATTCACATAAACAACACCCTACCACATATCTCTACCACACATACCTACAATACACACACACCACCTCATCACAACATACCAACTTACACACACATCCTATACACACCTTTAACATACATACACACACACACACACACACATCTAGAACCCATATATACACCCAACACCCACCTTACCACACCTCTACTACATCCACGCACCACTTTACCACAACCATACCACCTCACCACATACATTCCAACTTACCACATTTCACACACACACACACACACACACACACACCTCACCACATGTGCACACGCATGCTACACTGGAGCTGCCAGTCTAAAGCCTACACAGGGCACAGTCATACACACACACACACACACACACACACACACACACCACTTTACCATGAGCACACACACTACCCCCCCCCACTCCCCTCCCCACACCATACCCCAGCAACTGGTCTGAAGCTTGCACAGAACAGTGCCACATAGTGCAGAATAAACTGTGGCATTAATATGCAGGATCATCCTTGTCTCACTTTTGCCCTCGTGACCCCAGGGAAGAGGTCAGAGAGGCCAGGCCTTCATTCACATGTTATCTCCTCAGTCACAGATATGGGCACTGGCCTATAAGCTCCAAAAGGCCAAGCTGACAAGTTTGCCTTAAGGGTCTACTGTGAGTTATCTCCAGATTAACCATTCTTGACACCAAACAAGACTTATAGAAAGCTGGGACCACTCTAAGCTCCAGCCATTGCAATAGCATCAAGAGTCTCAGGTGACCAATTCCATCCGTGGCAGACTCGTCCCATGACCTAAGCAGGTGATGGCAATGAACCAAGAGAAGGCACAGCTGAGGGAAGAGGCAAAGGCAGAATCTGGTAAGAGTAGGACTGAGCTGGGAGGAGCTTGAGGCTAGTTCAACAGCCAGTACTTGGTGGGCAACCAGAGGGGTAGCATCAATGGTGAAACGAGCAGGCTAGTGAGACACAGGAAATGCAAAATTTGAATTATGCCAGATGGTAAGGACACACCCCAGGCCTCCTCCATAAGAACAGACTGGTCCCTCTTCCTCTTCCTGCCTCGTCTCAGGTGAGGTGAGGCCAGCCCTCCCTATATGGTACTCCTCCAAAAGCCCAGCTCCTGGTCACGCAAGTCTTTGCCCACAGCTCCAATCAGAGTGGCCATGCATTCATACAGCACACAGTCCTGGCTCTGGCTCTGGCTCTGGCTCAAGCCCAGCCTCAGTCTCCTCATGTCAGGGCCTGGAGGCTGTCCAGCTTAGGCCTCCTCATTACCTGCCTCTGGCTATGCTTGCAGCCAGCATGACCCAAACATCTCCTCCCCATTTTAGCCTGTGGACACTGAAGATACAGGGAGTAGAAATCCTTCTGAGCAGTCCTGTCCTTCCATATAGCTCAGACAGGTTGGTGAAGGGGACAGGATACAGGAGCTGGGGAAAAGCAGGCCAGAGATTCAGGCTCAACCCAGCCAAGCAGAAGAGCAAAGCAAACTTTTGTTAACATTAGTGTAGAACCATCCAAAATTTTCACTTATGTTTTCCTGTTTAGAGACATCTTTCCTTAGATCCATGCAGACAGTGAGCAAGTTATCTGTTTATCAATCCACCCATCCACCTATCCATCCACTGACCCATTCATCTATCCACCCATCCATTCATTTACTCATGTATCCATTCATCTGTCTTTCACCAATCCATTTGCCTGTCAGTCCTTTCATCCATCTTTCCTTTTGCCCATTCATCTATCCATCTACCCATCCATCTAAACATAAATCCACTCATCAATCTACCTGTCCATCCATCCCCTCCTCGATCTATATTTATCCGTCCATCCATCCATTTGTTCATCCATCTACCTGTCCACTCACCCATCCACTGATCCATCCATCCAGCTATCCACTGCATCTATACAGCTATCTACCGCATCCACCCACTCATCCACCTATCAAATCACTCATCTATCCACCCATCCAACCACCCACCCATCCATCCATCCACCTATCCATCTACTTATCCATCTACATATCTACCCACCCATCCATCTATTCATTCATCCATCTATCTACCCACCTACCCACTTATCCATTCATCCATATATCCATCCATCTACCTACTCATTGCCTATTCAGACAGATCCTCACTGAACACCTCCTCTAAGCCAGGCTCTGTGCTGGACACTGAAGACATAAAAAGAAAGGCACCCTGGTTGCTGTCCTGAGTTTAGTCCAGGAAAGATGCTGAGACCCAGAGACATGCAGGACCTAAAGCTGGTGCAGCGGCCAAGATCCTGCAGGAGAAGCTATAGCTACACCTAAGTTGAGTCTTAAAGAATGAGGAGTTGAGCAGGACAGCAGGAACAAAGGTTGCCTCGGTAGAGAGGATAGCAGTGCAGAACCTTTGTGAGTACTAGAGGCTGAGAGATGAGAGCATGGGGCTTCTGATGTTTTCTCAGAACCAGTGAAACCTTAAGAGCACAGCCTGGTTCCAGGAACAAACACTGGAAATGCTCCCCTGGAAGTAGCAGAAAGACAAGTGAGAAAGGGACAAAAAGTGGTCCTCGGTGTCATGCACGCAACTCCAGGGACAGCTTCAGAGCCAAGCTTCAGAGAAGACCGTGAGGCCAACTTAGAACCTGGCTTGCTCTCATGTGCAGAGCTAAGATTTGACAGATGGTTTGAAGAACACGGAGCACTCCTAGAATGCCACCTGTCAATCCATCCATTCATCAACTCACTCATCCACCCTCCCATCTGTCTACCATAGCCTGAGGACGTGGTGCCATCGAACAGGCTGGGAGGCTCTGCCTCAGGCAGCCTGAAGCTGAGGGAACAGTGATAGGTCAGGCATATGAGCAGCATCATGCACAGCCACAGAGGAGAGTGACGGACCACAAATTCAAGGCCTGTGCTCATGGTAGGGCTTTCTCTACCACTGTTGGGGCAAGGACTGGGTGAACTTGGCCTTATGGGATGCAAAACCCATCCAAAGCACAAGATGGGGACAGTATTCTGCTGGGTAAAAGATGCCACAGGCCTCTAGCTACATGCCTTGACATACCATGTGTTCACCCAGCAAAAGGATAACTAACTGCCTTCAGGTTGTAATGACCCTCCCTCAATCTCTCCCATTCTGGTCTCAGAGGTGAGGGATGGAGAAAGATGTGTTATGGTCCTAGACAGCCTCCTTTCTCTAAGCTGCCTCAAAGGGACTGGCCAAGCACCAGCCCACAGAAGAATCTCCCCCTAAAGAAGATACATATACTCCCTCCCATCTCCCTTCCCACTGAGAAGCCTTCAGTGTAATCCCAAGGCAGATGGCTCATTTTTCTCACGTCCAGGAGAAAGGTTGTGTTCTTGCTCTGAGGATTACATATCCCCTTCTCCAGCTAGACTGAAAGCTCCCACCAATGTCCTTCCATCCAGCAGCACCAAGCCCCCAGAGGGTAGAGGTAGATGGGCATAGTCACTGTGTGATAGTAAAGGGTTGGGAAGAGCTAGAGGAGATGAGGTAGCGAGGACAAAGGGGAAAGTGAAGGGAGAGAGAGGAGGCTGCCATCTTTCTTATCCTACCTGGACAGGGATGAGAGGCTCCTTGTCGTCAATGTCAATAAGCACATCTTCCCCAGGGCTAAGTAAGCTCACGTCATCTGCAGGGGCAGCAGGTTCATACCTGTGAGGAGCTCAGCCAAGAGACTGTGACTGGACCAATCAGCCCCCACCTCTCACACCCTGGTCACAGGTGTTTCTCTCCTCCCTTGGTCCTTCCCTTTCCTGATGCTACTTCCTCACCTTCCTCACCTTCTCTGCCTCCTAATCCTCTCTTTTCCCCCTCACAATTCCCTCTCCCTGCATTGTCTCCCTGCATCTCCCTCCCTCTCAGCTCTTCCCTAATCCCCCCCCCCATTTTGAGCCATGCTCCGCAGCTCCCATAGGTATGGTCATTTGCTCCAGGTGAAAGGGAGGAAGGGAGGGCCTCCACCTTTGACCCAGTTCAGCAAATGTCACTTCTCATCCTATACCTGGGCCACCCTGTGGAGATGGACTCTCAGTTGAATAAGGGTTACACAGGAAATTCTCCAGAGAGCGAATGGTGCACTGGCCCACCACGGGCCGGCGACCAAACTGGCGGTTATCGATGACCTTGACCACGATCGGGGGACAGTAGAGGTCCTCTCGAGGCAACATCTGGATAAAGACAGGGAATCTCTGAACATGGGTCTTAACTCATCTCTCAGAAGTCTCAGGGGAGAGATACGAGAAGGCCATCATGGGCAGGTCCAAGAAACAGGGAGTGAGTCTGAACCCACAGTCTGCAACGGGTCAAGAGGCAAACCAGTGGGGCAGAGGTCGTACACCTTTGTGCCTACCCTTGACTGCTGTGTGTGGAGGCTGGCCTCTCTGCAGCTTTACCTCCAAACATACCCTGCTCTGCCTGTCTGAGCCAGCCTACTTTCCCTAAGCCTGCAATGCCTGGGGAAAGAGGGGGAAGGGGAGTTGGGCTGCAGCTCAACTTTTCTTACAGACAGTCCCCCCCAAGTGGATACTCAAGAGTTGGCTTGCAGACCCAGATTCTTCTCCCCCCACCCCAAAAGCACTTTGAACACAACTTGAAATAATTTATATGCTCTCCTTCAGTGGCGTCTTGGCTCAGCCAAGAAGAGAGGCTCCTGTTGACAGCCACCGGGCCTGGAATTTCTATAGTTCTTTCATCTTGCAAACCATTTTCCTTTCCTCAGACTTGCCTTGCTGGCCACTGGGCCCAGGCAGTCCAGAGAGCTGGATCTAGGGGCTAAGTACTGGAGTACTGATGATCAGGGGACCAAGGTTTAGGAGGCCAAGGACTGAGGGACAAGGGGCCTGAGGGCTGGGGGCTCAAAACTAAGGACCGGGGAGGGGGCTAAAGACTGGGAGGCCAAGAGTTGGAGGGAAACAGCCAAGGGCTGAGGGTTGAGCTGGGACTAAGGACGGGAGGGCTGGGGAGTCTGGGGCTGAGGGACTGGGGGTACGAAGGCTAGGACTGGGGAGGGAGGCAGTCAGGGGCTGGGGGACTATGCCAGGGCCTCAGTGAGGGAGCCAGGGCTGAAAGCTGGGAAGGTAGAGCTAGGAAACTGATGGTTGGGGTGCTGAGAGGCTGGGACTGAGGACTGGGAGCCAGGGCTAAGGACTGGGAGCATGCACTGAGGACTCAGGAGCCAGGACACTGAAGGTTTGGGGATGAAAACTGGGGGATCATAGACTGGGAAACTGGAAAGGCTAGGGGTAAGGGTTTTGGAGCTGAAAACTAAGGGGATCGAGAGCACTGGGGAGGTGAGGACCTGGCAAGCTGAGAACTCGGGACCAAGGCTGCAGGAGCTGAAGACTGAGGAGCTGGGGGATGGCTAGGGGCCCAAAGGCTAGGGGCCCAAAGGCTAGGGGCCCAAAGGCTAGGGGGCTGGGGGTTAGAGCTGAGGACTGAGGGCCAAGGGCTGGGGGCTGCTGGGGACCAGAGTCAGAATTCTTGGGGCTGAGGAATAGGGAGCTAAGAATAAGAGAGCAGGGAGAACCAACAGCTGAGGGATAGGAAATTGGGGAGGGGGGGCCTGAGGACCAGGAGCTGAGGAACTGGGGGCTGGGGGTTGAGGGTTGCTCTGCAGGGCTCAGGTTGAAGTAGGACCAGGCAGGGAAGCTTGGGAGGAATGGCTGAAGGTCAGCCCTGGAGGATCACTGGGGAGAGCCCCTGGGGATGGAAGCCTAGCATGAAGAGATTGAAAATGGATCCTGAGGCTTCTGCTGACTCAGGGCCAGGCATGAGGTAGAGGTGGCCATGTGACTGCACATAGGATGAAGGCCTTTATTAAGGAGAGGAAGACTTCCTCCTTGTAGTCACAGTTAAGTGAAGTATAGAGATTATATAACCCTCACATCTGGGCTCTCCAGGGAGCTAGAGACAAACCCAGGGGCTGCTGGGATCATGAGACTACAAGGGAGTGAAAGGGAGGTAGGGCTCACCACTTCCATGAACAGGGTGCAGACATCGAAGTTGGGGTTCTTCCGGAGATTTCTGATGACACAGGACTGCACTGTCTGACCTCCACACTCCACCATGAGGCTAGGGGAGGAGATGCTGGCCATCTGATAGCTCTTCATGTTCCGAAGGCCCCAGGCCAGGATCTGGAGACAGAGAAAGGGGACAGTGGCTAGGCAAAACTGGGACAGGAAGGGGAAAGGCCAGGCCTGCAGCCCCTGCCCGGCAGCCAAGCTCACCTCAATGGCCGTGCGCTGGAGAGCCGGCTTGATGTTCTGGGGAACCATGTAAATGTTGGCCTCCCTCTGGGGTGGCGGGTAGGGCAGGTCTGTGTCCTCCGACTGCAGGGGACAGCAAATGGAAGAGAGTCCCACGGTGGAATGAAGACCAAGCCAGCAGGGTAAGAAAGGACAGGCAAGCAGGGCAAAAGGTAGTGACATGCGTTGAGAGACAGGAACAGAAAAGCACAAAGCCCAAGGGAACCCAACAGGCAGCACAAAGGAGCCAGGTCAGCCTCAACCAGGACTGTCCTGTCCAGGATCTGAATACACATGCCTTTGCACAGGGCTGAGGCTCTCCTCCCACAACATGGGCTCCAAAGCACCACTGAGACACTAGGGTCTACCCCTCTACAACACATGCATGTGAGCACATACGTGCATACACTCATACGCTGACACATGCATACACACCCTCCCCCTCCATCTTGACCATCCACTTCAGTCTCTCAGTCACCTTCCCCACCCTAACTCTCCTGCCCCCCTGGCTCATACACACCTGGATTTCTACCCCTACCTCTAGACCCAGACACTTTTGAGCCCCAACCTTGTTTGCCACATCCGTCCCCCCAAAGAACAGAGCATGCATGGGGGAAGCCAGGAAGAACAGAGCAATGGCAAATAAGGCATGGGATCATAGCCACTGTCCTCACAAGATATGGGATATGTGGCCACCATCCTCTGCACTCCAGAGAAGGCTCCCTCACCATGACAGACCAAAGATGAGTGAGGCACGTGGCAACACTGGCCTGCTATGGGGTTTCCAGGAAGACTTGGGCAGGAAGCCCCTGGCATCACTAAGAGCCACACAGGGGGCAGCACAGAGCAACAGAGGGAAGCACAACCTCAGGTTAGTGAACTCTAGTGGTGGTGGACACTAGCTCTACCATCCACCCGGCTGTCTGGCCTTTCTGTCACTTAGCTTCTCCATGTATAAAAGTCAGTCTCTAACCAGTTAGTATGAGAGCTGAGATGTTCATGCATACATGTTCAGAAGAGTGTCTTCAACACATGAACACTCCCTAGTCATGCTAGGGGCACTTGTGGCAATTAGAGTAAGATGTCCTTTTCTTAAGACTCTTTACTCCATGGCAGAAAATCATATTTTATGAGTTTATTAGGCCAAGACACTTTACTGCCACCTACTGGGAAACCTTTATAATAAATACAAATATAGACTGCTAGAAATTGCACCCTTTTAGAGTCCTTGTGCAGTTCCCAAACTACACCGCCACACATGGATGCCTTAATGTTAAGGAAAAGTTAACTATCATCAAAGGGACTGTGTTTGATGCTTTAATAAGCATCAGAATAGTTCAGTTTATCCTCCAACTGAAAGAATGATATATCTAGACAGTGGTGAACACGAATGGTGAGAGTGATGGGAGCAAAGAGAAAGACCAGCTTTCTCCTGCCTGCATTAAACTTCATGGCAACTCATGCCACCTCTCCTGCCCAGTGACCACTGGTGGTGTCATACCGCCCTGACTCCACAACAGCAAGGAGGTCGAGTCTAGGACCAGACAGCCCTGACTCTAATGTTAACTCTGCCGCTTCCTAGCTGTGTGATCCTGGGCAGATTACTCAGTGTGGGTGACTCCGTGTAAAGACTGGGAGTAATAATATGCTTAACAAAGTCACTCTGAGAATTAAATGAGAAGATGAATGTGAGCAGATGGCACCTAATGAATGGCATGACTGTAATTACCACTGCCATTGCTGTCCAGCATCGGCACCAAGGTTTTTACAACTGGTGTTGGGATTGCTCTTCCCAGGGTCATTCAAGGAGAGCTGCCAGAAGCACCTCTCAGAACAATATTGGCACAATATTGGCTTTATAAATCCCTTTAAGTTATCAGGGCATAACGTAGGAACTGGTCAGTTTGACTTAAGCTCACTGCAGGTAACACTGTGGGAAGGGCCTATAGAAGGGTGACAGACAGAGCTGCCTCAGTACACACCTGCAGGGGAGCTATGCCCACCACAGAGCCCAAGAGATTTGCTCCCAGAGAGCACATGCAGTCACTACAGAGGCTGGGCTGCTAACTGATCCTGGGTACCCATGTGAAATCTGCACCAGTTGCAGGAGATTATGTAGTTGGGGTGGCCTAGTTAAAGTGTCATGCTTTATGGCCTGTTCATGGTCTCTCATAGCTGATGCCCTGTCCACTATGGGGACCAAGGCCAAAAAGAAGGGCAACAGGAAGGGATAAGCCCCAAACTTTGCCAAGTAAGGAGGCAGGACCATCTTCCTCACCCAGCCACCACAACTTTCTATAATCACCAAAGAAAGCTCAGTCAACACTGGGCTGTCTGCTCTAAAGCTTTCCTTCAGCTCCATGGTGACAGTATTTCTCTAAGTGCTGAGGACCAGGGACCTCACATCAGGAGCTCACTCCCCAGGAGGTCAGAGGCATGGAGCTGAGCAGGGTAAGTGCTAATACCATTTGGAAGAGGTCCTGCAGGAAGAAGGCAGGAGCACACAGCTGTGCAGCCAAGCCCATGAATGCAGGAGGAAGAGAAGCAGAGACACAGATTAGATGACATCCTGGGGCCACTTCCTCAGCATAAGGCCACACACTCATCCCAAGGCCGTCTGTGTCCACTGTACTCCACAGGCTTCCCACAACATTCCTGCCCTATGCTCTTTGCTGCAGTTTTCTGGGACCCTTGTCTAGGTGGCCCAGTCTGCAAGGCATCACATGGTGCCCTGGTGCCATGCATGCCACACTGCCCATTCCAGAGCTGTGACTGTGTACCAGATCCTCAGTGCTCTCTAGGTCCCTGACCCCATTCCAACCCAGTCCGTCAAGATCCCTTGCCCCTAGCTCTTTCTTTTCCATTCCAGGGCTGTCCATTCACCCACACTCTTTTCTGAGTCTCCTCATCAGCCCTTCCTCTCTCCTCTCTGGCTGCCTCTCTCCCCAATTTCTCCATCCTCCTCTTCTATGACCTTCCAACCCCTTCCCAGGAAAGTTCCCTCCAAGTCAATCGTTGCTCAATCCAAGGACACTTATGGGTTCTTACCTCTCCCACCTCTCAACAGTACCTGCCCAGCTGGCCTTGGTGTCCCTCCTAAAGCTACCTGTCCAGTTCCTCACTGCAGCCCATTCTTCCCCTCAAGGATGAGCATTCCCTGGTGGCCCCACCAAGCTCCTTTAGCTCCTAAGCGGTCTGCTCCCTCCACCCATCCTAAGCCTCAGGGCCCCATTCCTAGCATCCTTCCTCTTACACTTAACTTTTCCATTCTTTTTGTTTGTTTGTTTTGTTTTTTTGAGACAGGGTCTCATTATGTAGCTCCAGCTGGCTATATAGACCATCCCAGAGTACTGGGATTAAAGGCATACACTACTATGCCCGGTGAAGATTACATTCTTTGCTCATATCCACCTCCCATAAAGCCCCTGCTCCATTCAAATGTCAGCTCAGAAACTGGCCCATTATTCACTGAGACAACAAAGAAAAAAAATTCTATTTTACCTTTATTCCCACCCATCCCTATGTCTCTCAATCTCAATGTCTCCTAAGGGGCTGGAAAGATGGCTCAGTGGTTAAGAACACTGGTTGTTCTTGCAGAAGACCCAGGTTCGAATCCCAGCACCCACATGGCATCTAACAACTATCTGTAACTCCAGTCCCAGGGGATCCGACAGCCTCTTCTGACCTCTGCGGGCATTGCATAACCTACATGCAGGCAACACATGCATACACATAAAACGAGAAAAAAAATTTTTTTTAATTTAAAAAAAATTAAAAATCTCAATGTCTCCCAATGTCAATGTCTCTCAATGTCTCTCTCCCTTTCCATATGTTTTCTTTCCATGCCTCAGGCCAGCACCAGCACTCTCTCCCACCTGTATCCCTCAGAGGTCCCCTCCCTGGTCTCCTTGCATCTCATGTTGCACAGAGCCTCAGTTAACAAAGCTTACTTGGACTCTTAGAGCAGGGTGTGTTTTGAGAAATGTTACTGAAATGTTCCCACACACTCAAGATCCCCTCATCCTCTAGCTACTCTAACTTCTCTCACCACATGGATTTTTCACTCCAGGGTCTTGAAGAGTGATTAGCCACCTCTGGGATGTATTCACCCTGCCCTTCTCAGCTCTAGCAAGTGGCAGGAGGCATTGTGCTCTCTTCAGCCTGAAGACTCAGCACTCGCTATCCATCTGTCTGGAACACAGTTGATCCCTCTTCATCTGGGCAGTTTCTGTTTGGACTCTGCATGTTATTTGAATCTTCCCTGGTGCCTTGAGAGTATGTATCAATGCCTCCATGGCTCCCAGAGCCCCTGTCACTCTTCCTTAATCCCACTGAAAGGCAAGTCACCCACACCATCTGTCCATGTTCCTAGCTAACCAGCAGCTCTGAGCTTACTAAATCCCCAGCTGCTACTGGGGGAGGAGAAGGTAGAGGTAAGACAGGAGGCTGAGCCACAGAAGTGGTTCCCCTTACCCATGTTGCCACCCACTCCGCCATCCTTACGTCCTCACTGGGCCAGCTAGCCATGCCTGCTCACTACCCATTGCTGAGACAGCATCCTTTGATGCCTTCTGGAACTTAACACAGCCTTTAGGGCCTAGCTTAAGCACTCCCCTTGCCAGGAGATCTCTCCAAACACTCCATAAATTTCTTATAACTCTGACATCTTTTAAACCTAAGTGACCCTCGTAACACACATGCACCCCTAGTTCTGATGGTCTCAACTGTCCTTTGTTCATCTCAGAGGAGGGAGCCAGGGGCCTAGGCCACATGGCCAGCTCCTGAGCCTCAATTTCTTCTGGGTTCAGCTAACCTAGCCCAATGTTGTTCATCCAGGAGAGTCAGGGTACTGCACCCTCACCAGAACTGAACAGCGTATCAGCATAGCCAGGTAAGGAAGGGTATAGTCTGCAAGAGCAACTGGATATCTGATTTTTTGTTGCATGAGCGAAAGGGACTCTGAGGACCCCAGGCCTCAAGGGAAGTCATACCATATAAGCTCAAGAGAGCCACATTGGCCCAACCTTTTCTATGCCTACCCTACATACAAGGCAAAGCTAGGGTCAGCCACTAGTGAGATCCACAAGTGTACAAAGCATTGATCAAGCCAGCTCAGACTCAGGTCTCCAGGCAGGGACAATCAAGGGTCTCTCCCATCAGCAGAAGCCATCTTTAGGTCCTTTTCAGTCTGTATGTCCCATAGCCAGTTCAGCACAGGAACCTGAGGCCCTAGCAAGCTAGACAGATGCTGCATCTCAGGACAGTGAAGGTATTGATAAGCTTCAGCAGCTACCTAGACCACCCTGTCCCCAGTAGCCCTCAGACCCCCCACCTCATCCAGGGGAGACACATCCTGGTTCCTTGGGGAGCTGCAGGCAGGGGGCAGCCAGGCAGCAGAGGCTCCATTGTCTGCCTGCCCCACCCAACTGGTGAGGAACAACATGCTGGTCTAATTACACTTCCCAGGAAAACAGTGTTTCAAATTAAGGCCTTGGGGGAGGAGGGGGATGGGGAGCCACTGGGCTTATTTTCCTGATTACAAAACACCAAATTGTTCTTTCTAGTGGATGTTGGGGTACAAGAGGTATACCCTGCCACCGCCTAGATTTGGAATGGTGTCTGGGGTGACATCTGGTTCACCCACCAACCTGACAGTGAAAATAGCTCAGAAGTATATGATGCTTTCTACCAGGGCATTCCTTACCTTGAAGCAGGAGGAAAGAGGCCTGACCCTGTCCTTTGGGTGGTCATGGGGGAGATCCCCTAAGGGGAGATCTTCCTCTACATGTTCCCAGTGCTAGGAGCCCACTAGTAAGGAACCCCTTCACCTCTCCTGACACGCGTGTGTGCTTGCATGTTCTCGCCAGCCTACCCATGCACACATGCTCACACGTGCACGCGCACATTCACCAGTTCTAAGGAAATCTAAAATTGCAGTTTCTTTGAACTCATTCCCCTTGGCAGCCTGAACTGCCTTTGTTCTCCAGACCAAAAAAATAAATAAAAAAGAAATAAAGAAAAGAAAAGAAAGAAGAGGAGGACTGCAAGAGAAGGAAAAGACTAGGGAGGGCACAGGGGAGGAATGAGACACCAGGGAGAGTGGGAAAAGGCTCAAAGAACAGGGAAGACAAAGGGACCCCCTGACACACACATTCTCCATGAGGGCTCAAGTCCTCAGAACCCTACAAATCTCCCATCACACAAGGCAACCTGGCTACTCCACCTAGAGACCCATAGGCAGAGAGCCTGGGAGAGGGGCTCTTGTGAACGCCACGCTATCCCAAAGCAGTGCCTGGTCCACAGCCCACTTCCCAACTCTGCCTGCCAATTCCTTCCTTCAAACTAGCTCAGTGCACCCTCTTTCAGGAAGCTACCCTCTGTCCTGCACCAAAAGCCCTTTGCAGGGGCAGCCAGCCCCATATCTCATTCATAGGCATTTAGGTGTCACAGAGGCCACGTGTGGCTGTCCATGCCTGGCTATGCTAGGAGAGAGGCACTCCCCATTTAAACCGCCTTCAGAGTCACTAGCCCATTTGTTCCCCCTGGTCCAGCTCCAGCAAATGCCCACAACTGCAACTGTCTCAAAAGTCTCAACAGACTCTCCCCCAGCCCTGGGTCCTCAGACCTCATACCTTGCAGGACAGAGCTCCCTATCACACCATGCTCCCTCTGCTTCCAGACTCCCAGAGTGGCTGGCATGCTCTGCACAGGGACTGAACTGGGAGCCTGGGAGAAACTGAACAGGTGACTCAGGCAGGCACTAGGCCACCATGAAGAGGACAGAAAAACCCTGCTGGGGCATCGGGCTTTTTGTAGAACCAGAACAGCAGAGGGACTGACCTGTCTCCACTCAGCCTCTGGGGAGCCTTTAAACCTGAATAGGGGCTGGAAAGATGGCTCAGTGGTTAAGAGCACTGGTGGGTGCACTTACACACATGCAGGCAATATATTCATACACATAAAATAAAAATAATAATAAATACTTTTTTAATAAACACTGAATAGGACCCAAGGTCTTGGCAGCCTTCAGTCAGGGAAGTGAGCTGAGCTCAGGGGCCCAGGGTTGGGCAGGCACCCTCTGGGATGAGGAATCTTGGGGGACTGGTCACCTCCCGGAGCCTCAGATTTTTTGAACATGCTGGCTTGGCCCTGTCTATGCCCAGCAAACTCCCAGGATACTCACTCTCCCTTGACTCTGCTGACCAAAGGAGGCCTCAGCCCAGGGCCTGGCCAGCCCTGGTTCTGGACCTAAGCTGCAGTTCTGATTTGCTTGCTAACAGCCAGGCCACAGCCACATCCCCACCCTGAACAGCCTCTGCTGTTCCATATGACACATCCGGTCATGAAGGATTCTGACTCTGTAATAACTCATCCCTGGGCTTGGTCCTCTTCAGCATAAGCTGTGGGTTTTGGCCAGGGCTCTGCTGCCCCTTCCAAATCGGCAGTCTCTCCGCATGGCCGCCAGAAGCAGGAGGCTGCCTGTCAGGCACAAAGAGAGCCAGCAGCAGTTGGCCCCTACCTAGGCCTGGGAGTGAAAGGAAGTGAGGCAAGGGGCAGGGAGCCTACAATCCCACATCCTGGTTGATCCTCCTCTTCAAGTCCAAATTGCACCGAAAATGTCAAGTGGTATCCACTCTCAGCCCAGCCCAAGGAGTCCCTGACAGAAAGTAGATGCCCTTTTCCTGCTTTCTCTCTGTCCAGGGTTCCTCTTCCTGTCTCTTACCCAAGCTTCTGCCCCTAGCTCTTCACAGATACACAGAGGCCCCCAGGGAACATGTTTCCCACCCCAAGCATATGACACGCTACATGCATATGCCAACTTCCTCCATCCCTAGGAGCCCCCTGGCCATCCCATTTTCCAAATGAGAAAGATCCCATACTGTGCCCTGCTCCTTGGACCAAAGCCGTGTGCCTCCAACCGTCTACCTCAGTGCTTTGTCAAAGTCTGGCTAACATTGCCTCTACCACCAGAAAGGCTTCCTTGGCTACTCTGGCACTTGCTGAACATTTTATTCTTGAAAATATGCCACCTGGTTTTCAAGCAGATAGAACTCAGTATTACTGTCTACGTGGTCTGGGTGAGTTTGGACTCCCAAGAGGGCATCAAGCCTCTGGGGCTAGAATCGTCCCCAGTATATAACCTAGGTAGCCACGGCTCTGCACTGAGCACAGGTAATAAAATCTAAGCCAGCCCTCTGTGTCTGCCATCCACCCCAGCCTTGGGCCCAGCTCACCTCATCCAGGATCCGTGAGGTGTCCTGAATCTGGGATGTTCCACATCCAGGGGCAGTAAGGAAGCCAGGGGAAGCAAAAGGTCTACATTACTAATTGGAAGTACTGAGTGACCCAGAGACGGCACCCTGTGAGGCATCCATAAAAATCACTCCCACCAAAGGTCAGCATGCTGGCTCCCTGGCCATCGTGCTCCCAGATAAAGAAGGGACAATAGGCCTGCAGCCAGAGGGAGCCATGAGAAAGAATAAATGAAGCCCAAGCCTGGAGTCTGGTCCTCTCGAGTAACAGGAAGAAGGAGGGTGACAGGCAGTGGGAGGAATCTGGGCCCCTGCAGTGCCCCCTAATGAAGGAACCAGGCCTCAGATGAAGCTGTAGAAATGCAGGGGCATGTTGGTTTAGGGAGCCATGGAGAGCCAGAGTCCCCAGGGCTGGCAGAAATAAGAGCTCCATTTGTATAGGATGAGGGGCGCTGGTGAGAGGGGGTAGGGAGAAGAAGCAGGGGTGGGTGGGAAGGGGTGACAAAGAAGGTTTTGTGTGGTTAGAACCATCTAGACCTCAATGTAGCATGCCACATAAAGGCAACTGAGGCATCCCAACAGCTCAAGGAGCTGCAGCTCAGCCTGGCCTGGACCAGAAAAAAAAAAAGGATTAAATAAGCCAGAGAGCTGACACAGGTTTTCTACCAGGACTTCATCAGAAGCTGCAAGAGGCTGAGTGAAGTGTGGGGTGTTGGGCCTCACCCTCAGGACTAGCCTGACAGGGGAATGGAAGTGGACCCAGAAATGGGCATTTCTTCTAATATCTGGCCATTCCAGACCCTATTTTGGGGCTGAGCCTGTGGTCTTCAGCCTGGGCTGTATGTTGAAGGTCAAAGGCAGTATTGAAGGCCAAAGGCAGCATTGAAGGCCAAAGGCCAAAACCCTGAGCCTGGGCTGCACCCCTAGAGACTGAAACCCTATGAATGTTAAAACCACTCCAGTGAGATAATGCCCAGGCCAGCCCAGAGCACCTCTGCAATCTGGAGCCCATGATACTTGGCCATCTCTGGAGAGAAGGGCAGATGGGGTATGTACTGGTTTGGGAACCCCTGAGTAAGATGAGGACCTCAGTTTTCTGCCATCTTCTCTGAGGCCCCACTGAGCCTTCCTCTGTACAAAGGAGCTTCCTGGGGACACAGGTAGGCTATGGCAGGACCTGCTAGCTGCCCTCCTAAGCCAAGAGAGTTCTGAAAATGCAGGGAGGCTGGAGGGAAATATAAAAGCAAGACTCACCTCAAAGCCAGGCATATGGTGGATGGCTGGCTAAAGTGGAGGGAAAAAAGACATTGGTCACATGCTCCTCGCCCAAGGCCTTAGCTCCCTCATTTCCACCCTGGCCAGGCAAACACATGAAGCACCACCCAATACCCATGGCCTTGCCAGGGAGCAGATAGGCCAGGGCTGCAGACTGTTTAAAGCTGAGCAGACAGTGAGCTGGGTTCTTCTGAACACCTCACTAAGAGTGGCCCTCTGTGCAGCTTACACACAGGGTTCATGTGGCATCCGTGGCAAGCTTGAGGATGAAGCTCGAAAACAGTCTCGTATTTAATAGCAGGGCCCTGGCTGCCAGGGCCACAGCCAGGATCCTGCCCTTACCTGTCCCCAGTTTCTCACTCATGGCACCTGAGACCCTATGACCAGGCTGCACAGGCCTTCCTCCCAGAAATCACAACAAGGAATGACCCAGAGAAGCAAAAACACAGTGGCCAGAGGACTCGGGATTTCAAGAAGTCATCAGACTACCCCGAGATGAAACATCCTGTCATGGGGATCAGAAAGGAGGGACAATGCAGGTATAGCAGGAGGCCTGACTTTAGAGGAGCTATCCCAGCTCCTACTAAGCTCAGTGTGTAGACAGCCCCTCTACCCTTACCCTGGTCCCCTGATGAGGACCCACCCTTACCTTCTCTCTCTGAATAAGCTCAAAAGCTGCCAACAGCTCCCCCGCTGGCTGGCTGCCCCTCATGAGAGGGAACCAAGCCAGCCGGGGCATCCGTTCCAGGCTTGGCTGACAGATGCAGCGGCCCATGAATTCGTCAGCACCCTAGACCAGGTGTAAAAGAAAAAGAGTCAGTGTCTCTCCCCCCGCCCCAGCCCCCAAAAGACCAGGACTGTATCTTTCCTCCTGGGTTAGAGAAGGCCTCAGAAGTCAAGGCTGCCCCTTGTTCAGAATGACAAGCTCTGCCCTCTGGGGGAAGGGGGAGAACAGTGAGGACAAGATGCCAGCAGCCTCTGGCCACCGTACTAGGCTAGAATTCCCACCATGGTTGGGGAATCCTTCTGAATATTCAACTACTGTTTCCCCACGCTTTTTCTTAATTCATCTCTGACCAGGGAGAAACAGGCTGCCTATGTTTCCCTAATACCCTCAGCCAAATAGGTGCTCCCAGATATGCTGGGAACTCTCGCCCCAGTGAGAATTTTCAGATGGGAAAGTGTGGTCATACTCACCAAAGTGAGTCTTGTTAAAATGATGTCTTCACCAAATAAGTCTTGGGTCTGGCACCTCAGAGTCCAACACCCCTCAAGCATTGATGCCTATTCTACCCTGGCTAGCCTGTTCATCCTCTCCTGTAGCTCACTGGTCCACAGCCCTTGCTCCCCCTGCCCTTATGGCAGTGCCTGCCTCTCCCCTCCTCAGCCATCACATGGAGACTGCCCATCCCTCACAGGGCAATGAGCAGACCTGGATACCAGCCAGATAGTTCTGTGGGTATCACAAGGCCTCAGCGCTTTCCCAGAGCAAGAGCTGGGAGGGAACCCCGGCTGTCCTCATACTACTGCAGAGGCCTCAACATCACCACCATCCATCCTGGACCAGCTACCAGCTCCAGCACACATGCCCACCAGTGGGTAACAGTTCAGAATCCATCACTGAGAAGAGCCACAGCACTGGGAAGAGCCTGGGGCTGCTTGAGCCAGATGTGACCCCCTTAGTTGCTGGGTCCTGCAGAGGAATGGGATTGGCAGGATAGCATGGGTACAGGGTGACAGTAATTTTAAATGCACAGTAGGTACATTCCCAGCTCACCCTCTGGCCCCTGGAGCCATCACTCCCCTAGAACAACAGGCCATGGTTCTCTGCCATCTCAGCCTGGCCAGCATGAAAAAGACAGCTAAGAGCAACATTTTTAGAAGATTCTTTTAAAAGTCTGTGCTGGCTAGCCAGGTAAAAGGCAGAGAGGACTCCTCCTGGGTATCGGGTGGCAATGAGACAAAGGGGAGGGGCACAGTTTGAAGATGTTTCCAGAAAGAGTTGCCATGGTGGGTATGAGTGAGCATGCCTCCAAAAAGCTCTGGCACAGCCTGGGTACCTCCTGACCCACCTTGTACAAGCAGTCCTCCCAGGCCCTGCCACCCTCTTCCTCCTGCCCCACAGGTGCCAGACCCTGCACTCATCCACTTACAGTCCCAACAGCACCCCTTCTGTTGTTCTTCCTACCCCTATGGCCTCAGCTTTCCCTCCAAGAGCTCCCAAATCAGAACCCCAGCCCTGGCCCATTCTGCCCACTGCTAGCCTCCCTTGTCATCTGGCAGGTACCTTTCACAGCATCACTTCCCCACCCCTGGCTGATACACCGTCCCAGGCCCAACATGGACTCATAGCAATCCTTACTAAGAACATCTTCCAAGCTCTGCCCCTTCCTCCAGGCCTCTGCACCCCTGCCAGGCCCCACCTCTCTGCCTAGTCTTCTTTTTTTAGCATCTGACCTGCCACACTTAAAGCAGCATTCTGATCCCAATCCCCTGGCTTCCCTGGCCTTATCCTTTCTCTTCAGCATCCCACGGCCCCCACACTTGCTGGAACATCCATCTGTGGCCCCTCTACATGTTTCAGGGCTTTTGTCTTCACCACAGCCTCCCCTAGCATTCAGAGCTGCACTGTCTTGTACTGGAGCATGAGCCACCTGCAGCTTTTTAATTATTTTTCTTTTTGAAGTAAGGTCTCACATAGCTCAGGCTGGCCTCAAACTCCATCTGTAGCCAAAGATGGCCTTGAACTCTTCCTGCCTACACCTCCAAAATGCTAGGATTATAAGTATATAGCACCATGCCAAGTTTATGCGGCGGCACTAGGGACTGAATCCAGGGGTTTGTGCATGCTAGGCAAGTCAAGCAGTCTACCAATTAAGCCACATCCACAGGCCCCCTCACACTTTCAGCTATTTAAACACACACTTAAACAGAATTTAAAACTTAGTTTCCCCATTGGTGCAAGCACATTCAAGTACTCTGTAGCCACGTAAAGCTGGTGTCTCCTCTCCTAAACAGCACAGCCAGAGAACAGAGCATCAATGCAGATGTCTGTTGGACAGCACTGTGAAAAGGCCCTGCCTGCCTGTACTACAGGCAGGGCGGCACTGCAGACACACAGTCACACTTAGAGGACTCTTCACACTTCGGGTGTCTGAGCTCCCATGCAGATAGCAAACCTCAGGCAAGGTGCCACCCAGCCCAGCACAGCGAGTGCTTGATAGATGATTATGGGGCCAAGACAGTCCACCAGCAGAAGAGGTAAGGTAGAGCTAGAGAAAAACCAGTCTCCTGACCTATAGCCCTGTGCCCTTTCTGGAGCTTCCTCCAACTCTGTTTGATTAGTTATGTCTGGGTCATGGCACAGGCCAGCAATCCATTTTCAATTCCTTTAAAATCATTTCAGTAAAAGGGTCAGGGGGAAAGCCACCAGTCCCAGCCTTGGGAAGCAACAGCTAAGCAGGGGTCCCAGTGCTCACAGCATGATTCTCCCAGGGACCTGGAGACGTGGGCAGGAGGGGCAAGGGAGTGAGCACACTCACGTAGGTGTCGTGGTCATACAATTCCACAACAATGCTGGGTGGCTGCTCAGCGACACTGGCCGGCTCACCAAAGATCTCTATCTCGTAGAAAATAAGGGTTTGGTCCCAGGTAGGGTTCAGGGTGTTCTTCACCACCACAGTCTTCTGGCTCTGGTGCAGGAAGGAGACGATGGCATAAGGATCTGTGTGGGCAGGGTGGGAAAGGAGACAGGATTCAGCAGGGAACACGAGACTTGCCTGCCTAATAGTCACAAAGCCAGAGCATGGCTGTGGCTGCCACTCTAGAGACATTTAGGCTAGATGCCATCTCTGCAGGGGGCTCTCCCAGCTCCTGCTGAAGCCAGCTGACAGCCACCTGTGTAGAGATGGAGCCTGGCCTTGGCCCTGGGCCTCAAAACCCAAAGCGTTTCCTTTTCCTGCAGCTTCCTGTCTGGCTAGCAGGGGCAAAGCGTGCTGGAAGAAGTGGGTGCCTGTGTGGTCCATTCATTTATCCAACAGGCATTTGTTAAGTGCCTTCTGGATGCCATGTTAGGGGCTAGATACTGGGAGTTGGGAACACATTTGGAGCAAAATGTAAAAATATCTGCAGAAACAAATGACAAAGTACAATTTGGATAAGAACCTTGAAGAATAGACTTAAAAGGCAGGAAGTGTGTTCATGGGAGATCTGGGTTCCTTGAGGAATGGAGACCAAGGCACAGGTGTTGGGCTCTGGGAGCTCTGAAATGCTATCAGTAGGACATGAGCAAGGCTCTGCTTCAACAGCTCCAGTTGCCACATGAAGAACAGGCTGGATGGGCATGTGGGAGTGTGGAGACCAGCTATGAGGCTGCTGTGAAGATCCAAGCAGAAGTAGAACTTTAGCTGGATATGAACTCAGGAACTTGCTAGACATTGCAATATGAGCTCATCACTGCCCACAAATTCCTATGCAGGCTGCTGGGCCCACTGGCCTGGGACCTGGCACTCATTCTCAGCCTAGCCCCAAAGGCAAGTTGGTCTGATAGCAGCAGATTCTAGAACAGTGGCCTTCAAATGTGAGGGTGTCACAGAATCACCTGGAATGTTTGCACAGACTAGCAGCTCCCACCTCCTGCACATGTAATGTAGCAGAGTTGGGTGGGATCCTTGGTTTTCTAGCAAGTTCCAGGTAATACTGTGGCTGCCTTCAGGGAAACACATGGACACCAGTATGGGGTTTTCAGAATGCACATGCATGATTTGGGAGGAGCAGAGTACTTGGGGAAAGGGCTTTTCTACCCTTTCCCAAAAGAACATCAGCTTGAGGGTAAGGTCTCATTTATTTCAAATGACAGATAATGAGAACATGTGGGTAGGACAATTAGGATGCAGGAGGCTGGCATCTGGGGCCAGATGTCTGGGAGGACCAAATACAGGGCTGTAACACAGCCAATTCCTTCAGCCTCTGCCCCAGCCCTCAGTGCCCTGCACACCAAGCCCTAGGCCAGTCCCTAGGCCAGCCCTAGCACTGCCAGAACTTTCCATGTGGCTCCAAGATGGCCCCAGTGGCCTCATAGGGTGCAGGCCTGTTCAAACACAATCCAGGGGCTAGGGTGGGGAGAGAGCACTTCCCAAAAAGTAAGAAGCAAGCCAAGATTTCTGGCCATGAGGAGACCAAGAGGCAAGCCAAGGCCATTGCACAGGAGGTGACAGAGTGAAGGACTGGCAGGATTTCCACCCAGGGTGGAGACAGCAAAGTCCAACAGCACAGCTGTCACTCAGAGAGCTAGAGGTGAGGAGGAAGACATCTCCGTTAAAGGCTTAAGGTCAGAACCACAGGCACCTGTGGCAGAACCATACAGGTCAACTAACAGGATAGCACCCAGCCTGAGTCTAACAGCTCAGGACCAGAGGCACAGTGGGGCAGTCATGGAGGGCATCCTGTGGAATATCGACTTTGAACCTGACTCTGTGGTTAGAAGAGGTCAATGAGAGGCCCTTGGCAAAGAGAGACTCCCCTGGGGGGAGGGGTGCCTCCCTGGCACGGGATTTCCCCATCGATGCACTGGTCCTGGTAGGCTGGCCCTGAGCCCTTTCCCTCCTGCCCCTGGCAAGGCCTGGCGGCGTCTGTGCATTTAATGAAACCGTCTGGCTGTGATACCATCAGCTCCAAGCTCGGCAGAGAACCTCTCCCAGTTCCAGTAAGGGAAGGAGCGCGCATTCCGATAAATAAAACCATATTAGAGAGCCAGCGAAAAAGCCTCTTTGTTCCCACCCCCCTGTGCTTCCCAACGCTTTATTTTTATAAGCTTGCGGGCCCTCGACTGACCGAGTTTACACAAAGATCACAATTGCACATTGTAGCGGCCATGCACACTGTATTGGTGTTGGCAGCACCCCCCACACTGGCCCCAGAGAGGGACGGCTCCTTCCAGCAGCTCCAGCAGCTCAAGCAATGAGCTCAGCACTGGGGGGACAGGGAGGGGGCAGCTTGCAAACAAAACTCAACTAGACCCACACCCATGCACCCCACCCACCCATGGGAGGGACAAGGACAACAAAAGCATTGTGAAGAGTAGGCCTGGAAGCCTTGAGCCTCAGACACTGGGCTACTTTGTGCAGCTCCCCCCCCAAAAGAAACAAGCTATAGCAAGGTGGCTGATGGACTCACAGACATATCCTCTGGCAGGAATAACAAGAGCAGGGCAAGGGTGGGGGAGAGGAAGGGCTGGGTCCTCCATATCCATCATCCAGCTAGCTCAAGGCTGTGCCACCTGAGTCCCTGCAGCACCCCTGACTGAGGGGATATGCTTGGGGGGAGCTCTCTGAGAACCACAGGCTGCCTTTGAGAGGCTCCAGCCACAGGCACCTGAGGATGCCACCAGGCTTCCTCTCACAAGAGAGCCAGGGACTCACCACCAAGCCCCATGCAGGCCATTCTTTGTCTAGATCCAGAGCTTTGTATCAGGGTATGAGGCCAGCCCTACTGCTCAGAGGATACCTGTATCAACCCACCCAGACCACCAGACCAGGAGCTAGAACTGATGTTGGTACCCCCTCTGTCAGGAATACCAAACGAGACCCCAGGCAGCCAGGTCTGGCCTGACTCCTTGTCTAGTGTTCTATGCCATCCCCATAAGAAAGGAAGGGTGTAATGATCCCCAGTAGGCAAGGCAATTGAGTTCAAGCTATGCTACAGCAATATCACTCCTATAAAATTAAGAAAAGCCCAGGCATGGTGGTGCAGGCCTGTAATCCCAACACTCAGAAGGTGGAACATAGACAATTAGGAGGTCAAGTCCATCTTCGGCTACACAGTGAGCTTATGGCCAGCCTGAGCAACATGAGACTTTGTCATAAAATAAAATTTAAAAATGAAGTTAAAAAATTATGATTATAAAATTATAAAACTCAGTGTTAGCAAGCAGTAGATGAAATAAGTGTTCTTCCTTCCTACTAGAAGCTACTTAGCAACCCTTCAGAAAAGCAACTGGGCAGGATGCCCTGAAAACATAAAACTGTTTGCAACCTTTTCCCCACATTCCTGAAAATCATCCAAATTAGCCAAAGGCTCTGGGTCCAAAGATGTCACTCTAGCGTCACTGGAAACACGGCAATCATTCAATATGCATTTAGCATTGGCTACTGTGTGGTAGACTAGCATGGTGCTGGAGATAACTTCTAAGCTCTTGAATGTTAAAAATGGTAATTACCCAAGTTAAGAGGCAAGGTGACATTCAGGAGTAAGGGGCAAGAGGCACATTCAGTCAGCTTCCCAAAAAAAGGTTTCTTACCCAAGTTCAAAGAAAGGATCAAGGAAAGCAAGGTATTCTGACTGAGCCAGACCCAGGCAAAATGCAGGGCACTTAAGCCCCATTAAGCAGCTGCCCTGGGTGACAGGAAAAAGGGAACACCCAGGGGGCAAGGTATAGAAGGGAAAGTGGGCAGACTCCAGTCCTGGACTCGTGCTGAGACATCTGGCCTGAGTCCTGACTCATGTTCCACAGTTCTCCTGGAGGAGTGTGGGTGCTGAGCAGCACCAAAGCGGGTGAGACAGCTCCTTCCTGCAGTTATCCGGCTCTCATCCACTGTGCATCATAGAGCTGGCAGCCCCTTCCCAGTCTCTCACTCAGGAACCCTTTCTAAGTGGAGCATTTCACAAGCCTCCAATGCAGTCTGGAAAACTTTTCCTAAGCCTGTTAGGTGGATAGCCCCCATCAGAGTCAACCTGGACAAAAAACCTGGCTTAGAAAGGGGTGTGCCAAGCAGCATCCAGACATCAGAAACCCGAAAGCAAGAAGTCCCCAGTGCCATCCAGATCTCGGGGCATACTACAGCACTGGGTTTAGCAGACCTCACTGTGCAGGAATAACTCAGAATCTGGAAGGGATGGGCAGGGTGGAGCAAGGAACAGAGTTGACAACATGTGATGTCTAAGTCCTTTGGAGCCACAGCTTTTAGTTCAGAGTAAAACCCACCTCAGTAGTAGAAAAGTTGCTGGGTCTGCAGCATCTTGTATTCTGTCTGCCTGATCTCTGTGCTGCACAGACTCAATAGGAGCACACACCACAGATGCTGAGAAGGGATGTGGCCACAAGGGTAAGCCCTACGAGGCACAACCCCCAGACTACCTGGACATCAATATCCCACAAGAGCCTCCTTCTCTCAACATCAATGCTGTCTCAGTAGGCTTCCTGGGCACTTCCTGGCATCTCTCAGCTCTTTGGCTACAGAGAAGCAAATATAGCCCTGGCCTCCCTGCAGTCACAAGTCTTGCCTCATAGGGTCCAAACAGAACCCATAGGCTCACAGGAGTCAGTCAAAGGACCAGAACTCAACAGGCCAGTGATAGGAACCTCTCCCAGAGTTAGGGGGCTGCTCTGCACAGTAGCAGGCAGTTGAAAGGTACTCCCAGCTGCAGTCATGGCTGGACCCACCCCTAGCCACAGACATGATGGCTTCACACATGAGCTTCAGAAATGCCAGCCGGTGGCCAGGCACAGCATCAAGCCGCCAGCCACCCCAGGGTCAGTTCCCGGGGAGAAATCTCTTTGGTTTAGGGTTTGGGAGTGAAAATAAACACTCTGAGTTTTATAGGTTTCCCCGTGTTGGCTGCTGTTTTCCTTTCCAGCAGCTGCTCAATCAAGCCATTCATTCAGAAGCCCGGGGCCTCTGAGGAAGCCCTGGGCAGCACCCTCAAAGCTCAAGGGATGTTTATCTGGGTGGAAAGTGTGATGTCTCCCAGGCCAGTGCCCGGCTGACCCTGCTGCTGCAGTCCTCAGGATGAGCCCAGTTCCCCAGACTGCAATCCTAAGGGAGCCCCTGCCCTGCAGGGTCCTCAGCTAGCCAGCTCTCAGAAGACCAGGGGTCTTCCACCCTCACCCACATGCCCTTCTCCAAATGGAAAAGAGGCCAGACTGGGAATTGGCCCACTTCCACTTTTCTCAGGGTCAGCTCCAATGCCTCAGCCCTGGACATAGACACTGTAGATGTCTAACTGCCCCCAGCCTGCCAAGGCCAGCATGCAGGTTTTGTGAAGGGCTCTCTCAGGGCCCAGCCCCAAAGTCCAGAAGGGAGTTGCTACAGCCATGAATGCTGGGCTGAGTGGGGCTGGAAGGCAAGTCACTGAGAGCACAGGAACCTGGAACTGAACCACAGCTGCTGGGGAGGAGAAAATACCACACAGCGATAAGAGTAAGGCTGAGCTAGGAAGGACAGGCACATGGCTATAAGCTGTGCAGGCATTCTGTGATCAGGAGGCCACTCTCACAGAACGTAACCCTACTCAGCCAAGAGCAGCCTCAGACCCAATTCTCAGTTCTGTCACCAGTCCATTCCTTCAACTTAAACAATTTAGGGAACTCATCTGAGTCTCTTCTTTCTTTACCTGTAAAATAAAGGGTATAAGACACCTACCTGTTAATAGCTGCCTAAGCACACAATGGTACTCAGTAAGTGTCTGGTCTTATGCTGTAAGTACAAAAGGGGCCTCCCTAGATAAGCTCACAGCCAGTTGAAAGGTTGCAATAGACCAGAGTTGAGCCCCACAGTGGACAAGGGCTTGGGGAGACATGCTAGAGAGGTGTTGGCCAAGCACTGAGAACAGAGCAACCAGCTCAGCTTGGGGAATCAAGAGGGCATGTGGGCTAGGTCTTGAAGGATGTCTAGGAGTTCACTGAGTTTAAAATGAGGAGGAAATAGATCCCAGGCAAATAGAATTCTAAGTACAAAGTCCAGGCCCATGGAAGAGGTTTGCAAATGTAGACCAAGGCTGCTGGGATGGGCTAACAGGCAAAGGGAACAAACAGGAGATGAACTTGGTGAGGTGACAGGAGCCGTGAACAGCTTGTCTGCCGGGCTAAGGATGGCAGGTCCATCTGCTAGGATCTATGCTGCAAAGCAAAGGAGTGCAGAGCCTAGGTATATCTGGGACAGTGTGGAAGGCAGCCAGCAAGGCAGAAGACTGAGTGACCTTGGGTAAGGAAGTCAGGGAGCTAAAGCGATGACTCGGCAGATAAAAGTACAGGACCCAGATTTGGTTCCCAACACCCACATAGCAGCTCACAACCGTCTATAACTCCAGGTCCAGGGAATCTGATACCATCTTCTGGCTTCCATGGGCATTGCACACATAGAGTGCACTTACATACCTGCAGGCAAAATACTCATACACATAAAATAAGAATAAATAAAAAAAAAAATTTTGAGAAGGGGCAGAGCCAGCATACTGCTAAAGCAAGAATGCATGAGACTGTGTGATGGGAACTTCCAGCCAGACAAAGCAGGATCTGGGTATGAGAGGGATGGGGCTTGGGGTGTTGGGTCAGTGGAGAGTGAACTACACATACTGCTAAATCAGAAAGGAAAGGAAGAAGAGATTGCTGTAGATCCAACAGAGAATGGCTCCTGGGAGCCATAGCCAAACAAGCCCTTAGGAAGGAGGGGATAGCCAGTCAGGTCAAACCCTGAGGAGAACTCGGAAGGCCACACATAAGGGGCTGCTGCCCTGATGACCAAGAGGCCTCAGGACCCTGGCAACAGTATCCAGCACTCACAGAAGACAGTCACTCAAGGATTTGGCTTTTCCACATTCCCTGTGGCCTGCCACCCAGCACCCAACTCTAGATCCTCCAACCATAGTCCCATTACCTCCCCTTCTCCCATTTACCAGAGAAGGAGTCCTTGTCCATGGCAGGCAGGTCTCGGGCCTGGTACAGGTAGCAGCGCAGATGGTATCGATTCCCATCTTCACCCAGGAGGAAACAGAGATGCCAGTGTAATGGACAGGGGTGCTAAGAGCTAGGGTTATGGGAAGGAGAGGGTCTGCCCCCAGTAAGGGCTACAGATTCTGGTTGAAGATAGAAATGGCAAGAGCCATCATGCAGAATGAGCCTCTGTGGGACAGGAGGACATATCCTAGTTCAGAGGCAGCATCCTGAGTCCCTTGGGCCTGGCTAGACTAGCGGAGAGGGTCAAGGGAAGAGGAAGAGGGAGGCCAAACCAAAGGTGAGAATGGTCATAATAAGCACATGCACTCAGTTCTCCCAAGTCACACACCTGACCATGGAACTCCACCCAGAGTTCTCTCGCTCGCTCGCTCACTTGCTCGCTCTCACTCTCGTTCTCTCTCTCTCTTCTATCTCTCTGTCTTCTATCTCTCTCTCTCTCCTCCCCCCCCCACCCCATGTGTCACTTACAGTCAAAGATGCAGGAGATTGTGGGTCTGTTCACACCAAAGCTCAGGGTGGAGACTGACATGGAATCTTCAGTCTTGTCATCCACCACACCACCCTGGGGACACAAAGCTCATCAGGAAATAGCAGGGAAACTGACCCAAACCGACCCTCTTAGATACCATTGCTCAGCTGGGGAAGTTGGGACCATCAGCTCTGACTTCATCTGAGAGAGCCTCAGCCTCCTACAGCATCGCTAGACACCAATGTCAAAGCTGCAAAGAACTGTGGAAAGCTCTTCTGCCTCTTGAGAAGACCAAGAAAAATAGGATGGAGTTCTGATTTATTTGAGGCAAAAGACTGGCATCTGTTAGATGAATGGCCTCTAAGGGACTTGTGCTGGGGTGAGGAGGTGGTGTCCAATAGGAATCTGCCTTCTAGAGGTAATGACTAGAGCCAGACTCTAGGCCCCCACTTCTGTTCAGTCTAACCCTAGAGACAACGCCAAGCTGGGTCTCAGTTCTGCTCCCAGGATGCACCACTTATCTGCCATCCCTCAGCAGTTCCACCAAACCAAGGGAGAACACAGGCTATGGTTTATTGAGGTCAAGGACAGGAGCAGGAGCGGGAGCAGGAGGGAACGCTGACCTGCAGGCCTGATTAGAAAACAATCTGCCAGCTCACTGTGCACAAAACCAGATTGTCAGCCTGTCACCTGGAGCACACTAACAGTGAGCCACAAGTCATCTTTGGGGACACCAAGAGCAGACCACTCCCTGGGCCAGACGCTGTGTACTCTGTCAGGTCTACCTTCCTCTCCGGGTCAGAGCACAAGCCAAACCCTGCAGAGGGACTAGGGAGAGGACTAGGAGAGTGGAGTCCACTTCCTAGACTCTCCTGCTGCCTGCAACCTCAAGTTCAGTGGGGTTTCTCCAGTCTCTTTTCTCTCCACAGTCATCTGCTCCACTGCAGAGGTGACAGACTGACAAGATGGCATCTGCTCTATTTCCTTGCCCGGCTGCTTTCCTTGTTCCACACATGCACATACCCTCTAAGAAAGCCTTGGCTTCACTCTGGAATGGCCTGTTTGTCCTCCCCCTAGTCCCTCCCAAACTGGCCAGTCTGTGTACTGCTCACAGCCCTGACCTTGGCCCAACCAGGCTGCAGTCACTTCCTACAAATCTCCCCAGGCCCTGGACCTGAAAGCCCCTCCACCCCAGGTCTCCAAACACAAGACACACTATTGCCACTTCCACACCCTCCTCTCCAAACCACACTCACGCTCAGGCTTGGCCCCACCTCCCTGTCCCCTGGATGCCCGTCTCCCAGCTCTGGGTTTGAATCCTTCAGAGGCTCTTATATCTGAGGGTCAGTGTCCCACTGCTCAAACCCAGTGCCTTACCCTGTCTCCCCAACCTGACACCAGGGCTTGCTGTCCCCAAACCCAGCCCAGAGCAGGCAGGCCATTCTCCCCACAGCTGCCCCTGACTCTCACCCCCCTAAAGCAGAAGTGCTCTCAACCAGTCCTGGGACAACAGAGTTGCATCCAAAGGACAAGATAGGTCTTCCCCAGAACCACCCTTGTAAAGGGCCACATCACACATGCAGGAGCAGCATGGTCCTCTGCTGTCCCAGGGGATACAGCCAGGTCCTGCTGCAGCTGAGCTCTGGCTCCGACCTCAGGATACCTTCCCCACAAACAGGAGGAATACAGTGATAACCCTCCACTTCCTTAGGCCACAATTTCAATATGGTTTTAAAACCAGATCACTTGAAATCTGATGCTGGCCCGCCACTAACTGCCCCTGTGCCTTAGGAAAAGTTGCTTAACTTCTCTGAATCAATTTATTTGCAAGTCAGAGATAATTTTTACTCAGTTCAGAAGGTTGTTGTGACTGCTAAAGATTGCAGGCTTATCACTTCTCAGTCTTTTGGCTAAGATCAAGTGTAAAGATAGCCAGCATGTAGTTCTTAGGACACTGCCTGGCACATAGTAGATACTCAAGAAATGTTAGCTTAGCTATAAGGCTCAAGCTGGTGAGGAAGAGGAGCAGGTCATAAGCTTTGTACTGGGGTAGTGTTCAAATAATTCCCATTTGTAAAACATCAGGATGTGAGTTTGGTCACCAGAATCCATGTAAAAATGCCAGGTGTGGTAGCTCACACTTGTAATCCCAGTACTGGGGTAGCAGAGACAAGAGCATTCCTGGGGCTCTCTGGCCAGGCAGCCTAGCCTACTTCACAAGCCCCAGACTAGTGAGAGACTGACTCAGAAAACAAGGTGGGCAGTTCCAAAGGAGTAACACCCAATGTTGACTTCCAGCCTCCATACACATATATGTGTACCCACAAAGACACACACACACACACACACACACACACACACACACACAACACACACACCACACATTAAGAAAATCATTCCAGTGGTCATTTCAGTAAGGAGCCATTGCCCATCCTAGGTAAAAATCAAAATTATGCAAGTGCCTTTCAGGTGCCTTTGAACAGTGTGTCTCTCCTCTCTGTCTCTCTCTCTCTCTCTCTCTCTCTCTCTCTCTCTCTCTCTCTCATACATCCCATGGGAGAACTGAACAACCAAGAAGGGTGTCATACTATAGATCCAGAAAAGACAAAAGCCACGTCTGAGGGCCTGCCTCCCAGGTAGGTATGGACTCCACAAGTCCCAGGCTCCTGCAGGAAAAGCACTTGACTTGGCCTGCCACACTGACACCCTGTTCCCAGAGTGAGTAGCAAGTCCAGCATCTCATGGATGTAAAGCGCCCCCCTCCCAGGTCTGAGGGCTTTGAGACACCAAGGTCTTGGGGGCTCAGCAAATCATACAGGTGTGAAACTTGAGGATACCAAGGAAAACAGTGAGGACCTTGAAAACGAGTCACAGTCTGGCATACGCATCTTGGTGCTTTTTCCACTGCTGGAGTGGGAAGCAGGGAGCAGGCTCTGCTAGGGATGGAGGCACAGGACTCTAGCCCTTTCTCCTTAATCCAGTCATATATGGTACCTTCAGGCAGGCAGGGTGCTGGGTGCGCACAGGCAGTGAGGTTGCCCAGCTCACAGGCCCCACCATACATCTCTCCCTCGAGGGAGTCTACATTGGCTACACTCCTTGCTGAAGCTACCAGAACATGTGTCCACATGCCTTGCATGTCCCCTCTGGCATGTAATCAGAAGAGCTATTCCCCTCCTTGGTTCTTCTACAGGGGCTGGGCCAGGTATTTCAGGCCTAGTTCAGGGGCCACTAACATTCTTCTGAGACCATCCCACACAGATTATGCTCCTCCACCTATCCTGCCTCCCAAGGAGGACCTAGTGGCCCCAAATGGCCCACAAAAATCCTTCAACCACTCCCTGGGATCTGGGCCCAGAGTGATCTCTTTTGCCTTCTCCTGGATCAGGAAAGCAGGCAGTAATTGCTGAGGGTCTTCTGGGTGACAGGGAGAGGGACAGCCCAGGACCAGCCCAGTTCTGGTTCACCCAATGGGCAGAATCACACACATACAGAGGAGGGGGGGGGAGCTGACCAATGTCTTTACATCCTCTGGCCACTGATCCTCCCAGGGGGCCTGCCCTGCCCCATAGCTTCCCCACCCCCATTAGAGTCTGGTAGCAAAGTGAAAGCCACCTTCCCCACTGGCCGTCTGCAGCCTCTGAATTGAGGCACTGGGATGGGGACACTTCCTAAAACCAGCACCCAGTCCATGCTCAAACAGGGTCACCCTGGGGGCTCTTTCTCAACCCAGGGCCTTTACACATGATTCCTTCTATTTTCCTGGGCTTCTTTCTCAGATGTCTGGTCTTACCTTCAAGGTAACCAACCTCTCAGGGCCTCCACAGCACCCTCCTTAGATCTTCCCTTCATAGTCCCCAACAGCCTGCCTCTGTGAACATCTAGACTCAAATGTTCACAAAACACCCATTGTGCAGCAAACCCCTCTTCAGCTGGAAAGAGGCATAACCACTCAGGGAGATAGTGTCACCTCCCAGAGGGGCCTCTCCAACCAACCTGTGGAAAACCTACTCTGACACTCATCCTCACAGTGTCCTCAGATGCCACACTCCACCCCCAGGGCTCTCCCACACACCCAAATAGGGGCTCCCAACCCTCACACAGCTTTGTTCTTTCCTGTAATGTCAATGTCTGACAAATCAGTTAATATACCAATACTCTGACCATAGCCAGCGTGGGCTCCAAAAGGGCACCTACTGACAGTGTCTAGCACTGAGCAGCCCCAGGCACATTTACCATCAGTGAATCTAATCCAGGGAAAGCCCTATCCCCTCCTTGACAGTACCTTTCTCCAGGGGAAAGAGTGAAGCTAAAGCAATTCTTGGGAGGTAAGAAGGAGCCCAGAGATCCCATCTCAGGTGACGCCTATGAATGGAGGCTTAGTAGTACAGGTAATGGGGGCCACTCACTGCCTTCACCACCACCACTACATGGTAATTAAATGGTACCATTCCAAGAACTGGACCCCTGGAACCTTCTAGCTAGAGAACCAAAACCAGGGCACAGCAGAGGAAGAACTGCCAGAGCTTGCAGAACACGATCGACAGTGGGCACTCCCTTTCAGAAGCAGGTTCTTGTTCTAGGATTCGATGCTCCACCAAGGACCATGCCCAGCTCAAGCTATGTGCAGTTCCAGGAAGACAGGAGAGGACCCCACCTGGGCTTCCCAGTGTGGATGGGGAAAGGGCAGCTGGCATGGCAAGATGGACAGTTTCTGAGACCTTGGTTCCTATTGTGTGTCATGGCACACGCTTTCTGAGGCGACCATGGAAAATGCAGGGGGGTTAACCTCCAGTACATTCTGGATTGGAATATTCCTTGTGGTGGAGCCTTCTGTGCCATGAGGGTGGTTCTCTGGCTAGACATCAGTAGCATCCCACTTAGTTACAGCTGCTGAGATGTCTCCAGACATTGTTAGATGTCCCTGGGGAAGGGGGACTGTCCCCAGTTGAAAATCAGTAGCAAAATATTAAACCAGATGATACACCCACAGCCCTTGGCAGGTACCCGGCACACAGTGGGTCAATTTAACTCAGTCACCTCACCAAACCACCACTCCTCTTTCTGCCATAGGACTTTTGAACTGGCTCTTC